TCCCCGCTGCAGCCAGGGCAGTCTCGTTAGGTTCAAACTAGCAGCGGGCTGGGCAGCGCTGGAGTTTGCGAGAAGCTCGGGCTTCAACCAGAGCAATTGCAGTGCCAGGAATCGAATTACGGCGTTTTCGGAGGTTCCCGAGACGGCCCGGCCCGTCCTGCGCTCGCCGCACACCCTCGATGGGCATTTTATCCGCGCGCTCAGCCCACGGGAGCGGGAGCCGCGGTCCTCTCGCAGGTACGGGGACATTTCCACCGGAGGGGGAAAGTAGAAAGATCCCAAGTATCGCAGTAAGGTGTTTTTTAGGGATTTCAATTTCGCTGCACCGAGAAAAAATATAACTCCCAGCTTTAAATCGAAGAAAATACAAAAAAGCCGAGATTGAGAGCACATTGACTCAGGAAATGAATAATTAAGAGCAATTTGTAACTTTTGACATCGAAACTTTTGAGGACCCGCCCTGCCCTTTACATAAAAACAAACCGAAAAGACTTTCGCTAAAATTAAAGACTTACGTTAAAATTAAAATGTTTGAAGTCTGTAAAATTACGACTTTTTCAGGCGAGGGAAAGCGCAGAAATATATTTTAAAAAACTCAGATCCCATATTGTGGATGTAGGTAACTGTCTTGCTTTTTTTCTCCAAAAATAATGATTTCTCGGCTATACTGCTCAGAATCGAAGGATTACATTTTCGGCCCCCTTGAGCACAACCTACCCTGCGCACTAAGCGTTATTTTATTAGTTTTCGCAGACGCGACGCTCCTTTCGAAACGGTAGCAGCGAGTCAGCCTTCGGCTGCCCAGAAAATGCACGAGCCGAGAGAGACGCTCCCCATCGGAGCCACCGATGTTCACAAACTCTGCCGAGCTGCTCGAATAATTTTGCTTGGCTCCCGATTTTTTTTAATTGACATTTGATCTGGTCCCTAAAATGTCTTTCTAGACTTAGCCGGGTATTAGCAAGCGATTCTAATACAGAGAGGCGCGGGCTCCTGACACACACACACGTACAGGCAGCAAAATATAATCTGTTCGAAAGCGGGGTGTGTATGTGTACAAATGCACGGGCATTTAGACGGATAAATATACGTAAATATCTTTCTGCTCCTGTAGAAATAACCTTCGCGGAGCACGACGCGGAGCTAAAAGAATAGTGAAAAAAATAGCCGGGTGCAATAATTTGAATTATTAATTTTTAATCTTTTTTGCATCTGTTGCCTTTTAATACTTTGTAATGCGAGTTATCAAAGGTGCTTTGAATTATTTATTATGGATTTGCCGAAGAAATTGATGTCTTGTAACTTTAGAGGCAACATGTGCAGAAGGGGCTCTGGACAAATGAAGAAAACACACAGTAGCGGCGACCCGCAGGTTTTAGTGGAGAAAGATAAATAATGTCCCCTTCCCCGGGCAGCCCTAAATATGTTTTACGAAAGCGTGACAAAAGATGGCAACAAATAACATGGACTCCCCGGGCGCCGGGAAGGACGGGGAGACAGCGGCTCCCGCCTCGGGATGCCGAGGTGCTCGGGAACGGGTGGGGGAGAGGGAAAAAAACTCTATTTGTGAGAAAGGACTCGGATCGATCGCAAGGCAATGAGAGTTTCCACTAAGTTCAGAGCCAATAAGTCAGTGTCAGAAGCAGGGGAGGAAAAAAAAAGAAAAAAAAAAAGGGAAAAAAAAACTCAGCGAAAACACAAACAGATCATTTTTCAGCAAACTGCAAAACCGAAGTGAGATCTCTTTGCGAGGAGGGTGCGGGAGGTTAAGGCTGTGTGAGGGCAGAGCCGCAGCGCAGCGCGCAGCTCTCCGCGCAACCCGCGCACGGAGACGGCGGCACCGGCGCGGCCGAGCCCGGCGTGGCCGCGGGACGCGCAGGCTCCGCGCCGGGCCCGAGCCCCGCAGCAGACACTGCCCCTGGCCCCGACACTCGCTCTCCGGCCCCGGGGGCGCCGTTATTCCCCACCGCGCCAGGTTATTGCTCCGAATGGAGGAAGGTGATTCGGGAAAAGGGACCTAGCAGCCCTCCAGGAGAGCGAGCGCCGTTTTGTTTGGAAAGGGGAAAACAGAGCATTTCCAGTTCTCCCGAACTGACGGAGGCGGTGAGAGTCTGTTAGATTTTATTACTAGAGAATTTTTTGCTTAAAGATCGAAAACTGATGAGAAAAAAAAGTGTTGTTTGTAAACGAACATCGACTGCGGGACACAAAATATTTTATTTCTCTCTCTCTCTCTGTCCCCCTTTCTCTTTCTCCATTTATTTCTCCTTCTCTTTTTCTCTTCCCGAACCCCTTCAACTCACATATGAAAATAAAAGGGGATGAGGAGCTGTGCGGGGCACAGGCTGCGGGGAAAGGGAGGGCAGGGTCCGCCGCAGACCCTAACCCACCGCCTAGCCCGAAACCGCGGAAAGAAACCCAAAACGAGTGCGAAAAGAGGCAGGAGCGGGACCGGGGTCGGCAGCAGGGCTTGCCCGGGGCCCCAGGCCCCGTGTCTCGCTGTCCGCTGCGGGAAGGAGCGGCGGAGCCGGAACCGGCACCAGGCACCGTCCTCGGTATCGTCCCCGCCGGAGCGGCCCCGAGAGCCGCCGCGCGGGCCGAGCGGGAGGGAGGCGGCAGCCGAGGGGAAATCCCAGCGACTCGGGAAAATTCCCTCTCCTGTCTCGGCTTCCTTGCTTCCTCTCCTGCCTTTTCTTTTCTTCCTTTCTCCCTCTCCCCCACCCCTTTTTTTCCCCCTTATTCTTTTCATTCTTCTTTCTTTCCCTTTATTTTTCATCTTTCACATCATTTCTTTTTATTTTTATTCTCTTGCTCTTTTTTTTTGTTCGTTCTTTTTTTTTCCTTTCTCTTGCTCGCTTTTTTTTCCCTCCTTTCTCTTTCCCCCTTTTCCTTCCTCTTTTCTTCTTCTCTCTTCCTCTCCTTTTC